TCCCTGTCCTGTGTGCGGGTGACCTTTGCAAGGCCTGGCCGTGGCTTGAGCTCTCTCCCTCACTGCCCTGGAGACAGACACCAGTGTCCACTTGCATATGGGGTGGGGATTGCCTGTCATGCTGGTTGGCCTGTGCGTCCGCATGACAGATCTACAGGGGCAGGGGCCTGCATTTCCTAGACAAGGAGCCCGAGTTTAGGGAAGGCCTGGCCCTGCCCAGAGGCCGACTGCCCTTGGTCCCCTCCTGGTGTGGAGGCCCAAGGCTGCTGGCAGCTCTCTCGCTCTCGGTTTTTGATCCTCAGCACTTTCTGTGCTGCCTCTTTATTTCTGGTTTTGATTGCTGTGCCTCCTTTTAGGGAAAAGGCACCTTCATTCCTTAGGGGCCCTGCCTCGCATACCACCCCTGCTGCCTGCCTGTCCTGACCCCCCACCTCTCTCACCTCTGCTTCTCAGATCCAGCCACATGACTCCTTTCTGGTCCTTGAACACATGACTTGTCCCAGTCCCACAGCTTTGGTCTCTGCATGGACCTCGTCCCATTGCTGTCGCTGCCTCACTCACAGTCATGCTGCTTGGGTTTCTGTTCAAATATCATCTTCTCAGAGGGGGAATCTGCTGCTCCCAGCACTCTGGAGGCCACCCTGCCCTCAGCATCCCTAGCTTGCCCCTCGGTAGTGCCTTTCCTTAACTCAATTAGACATTTGCCTCTTTATGGCTTCCCTCCTGCAATGTAGCAAGAGGCCAGGAGCTCTGTGCTGCTCCCTGTCCTGTCCCCAATGCCCACAGCACAATGAAAGAGTGAATGGAGTGGACAGGGCTTGTCCAGGACCTCACTGCCAGGAGAAGTGGCCTCGCTGCTCAGTCTGTGCTGTCCGCAGTGCCGTGTTGTTCCCCTCAGAAGGGACACTGGAGCGCTGTGTGGAGATCATCATCGTAGTGTTCCTCCTGTAACTCCAGCACCAGCTGGCCTCAGCTCCTAGTAGGGCCTCACCGTAAACATCACCAACAAGTTGCATTTTGTCAGAACTCCCTGAAAACAGTGCATCTTTGGAAGTAAAGTTGTTTGCTCAGCTACAGGGAAAGAACAAGGTGGGAGTCCTAGACAGACCTGTGCTTTCTGTCCCTGGAGATCACTTCTTCATTCAGATGCTGCTTGAGAAGAGGCTGGCTCATATTTTTGTGCCTTTAGTTGTCGCATTAATTTTGGAGGAGTTGATTTTTATCTCCTCTTATAGACAGAAAAACACAGACTCAGAGAGATGGTTTCCTACAGGTTACTTAGCTGCTTAGTGACAAAGCCAAGAGCTGGGCTCACACATCCCCAGACCAAGTGTCCCGCTCCCAGGGGTGCTCTCTGGTTTGCTCTAATGTGCACGTGCAGCTGGTGTGGGCCCCAGTTAGCTGCAGATTATGCCTGGCTCCTAAGGGCTCAGGTACAGCGTCATGGCTTCATGGTGGTGTGGCAGCCACCTATACACCATTCTGTCCTTTGCTGTCAGTGTTCAGTAAATCATGTGAGCCCAGTTCCTGGCTAGTGTAAGTGTTCCAAGCACATTGACACTGGGCTGCACTGAGCTAAGCCAGAGGGGTGCAGCCTGCCCCTACCCACCCAGTTCGTGCAGGCTGGACAAGTGCATAGGAAGTCAAACAGTGAGACAGGAAGTCAAACAGGGAGACAGGATGTCGGTGGCAGAGGTGCTCCTGGGTACCTCCCCTTTGAGCCTGAGCAAAGACTGTGCACTGGGGAGGCGGGGCCAGAGAGGCTCTAGAGCAGACTTGTATAGAGGGCTTAGGGGCTGGAGGCCAGGCTCCTCTTCTTGAGGCCACCTGTGTGATCCACAGGGCCCAGCACAGCAGGGGATCGGGGAGCCCCTGGTTACAACATTATTAAGGATTCAAAGACAGAGACATCAGAGCCTTAAACTCAAGGCCTTGGAGCTGGGCTTGGAGTCTCTGCCCTTGTGGCTCATGCCTGGCATCCAGCCTCATTACTGTTCTTTGTTCTTCAGCAATTGATGAGGCTTCCTTTTGTGAATGAGGCCCAAAGCCGACACCAGGTAGGAGTTCTCATCGTGATGGGATGCTGATGCTGCAGGTGCCTGTTCACGGAGAGGGTGGAGACTGAGGGGTGCACATCGCCTGCCCTGAGCCAGCCAGCCAGGTCATGGCCAGGCCCTGTCTCCTTCCCTCGACTTAGAACTTGGCACTCAGGGACTGACTGTTTGTTTACTTTTCATTTTATTTGAAAGGGAGAGACAGAGAGAGAGCGAGGGAGGGAGGGAGACGTGGAGAGAGATCTTCCATCCACAAGTTCACTCTTCAAATGCTTACAACAGCCAGGGCTGGGCCAGTTCAAAGATGGGAGCCCAGAACTCAATGATCCAGGTGGCAAGGACCTGAGTACCCAAGCTGTCACCTCCTGCCTCCCAGGGTGCGTGTTAGCAGGAAGCTGGAACTGCACCTCCTGCCTCCCAGGGTGCACGTTAGCAGGAAGCTGGAATTGAGGTGGAGCAGGGACTGAAACCCAGGCATTCTGATACGGGATGCAGGCATCCCAAGTGGTGTCTGAACCGCCATGCCTCACGCCCTCCACCCTTGTCCTCTGTGATACAGTTTTGCATCATAGTAAGAAGTGCCTGCTCATCTATTCAGTGGATAATGTCAAGCTTTGTGTTTTTTCTGAAATATCTATAACAGAAGGTTCAGCTGAGATGCATATTATTTGTTGAATACTCATGGGTAGGAGAATGTACTTTGTGTTCCATGACTTCTGATATCTTTTGGACAATTTTCTGCCTATAGTGTGAAGACTCGTGTCCCTTTTGCCTGAGATTCTAGTCTCTGTAAGTCCATCTTTAACTGGGCACTGGAGGTGAGGCAGACCCCGAGGGCCAGTGCTGACACCACCTGCCCTCCGCCTGCACTGATTCCTGGCCTGAGTGCCTGTGTGCAGGCTTCGTCTGGGCCCTGCTCTGAGCAGAGATGATGGCAACCAAGGTCCCAGGCAAGGCATGGAGGGGTGAAGAGATTCCTCCCTCTTGTGAAAGGACCTTGTGGTATCCCAGATTCAGTCTGAGGTCACCGCTGCCAGGCAGGGTGGCCTGGACAGAACGTGGCAGCCTGGGTTACAGCCTAGCCCTGCAACCCCCACTTCCCACCATGTGACCTTGGACAGCCGACAGGGCCACCTGGGCTGCACGTGTGCCCTCCATGCTGTGGGCACACTGGGAGCTCATGGGAGCACTGTGCTGAGGGTCAGATTAGAGAGTTCCTGATGTCCCTGTAGATGATGTTTGCACTGGCACTCGTGTGCCTGGGGCTCGGTGCTGGGATGCAGCAGGCAATCAGGAGCGCTTCTTCCCACAGGCAGAGGCAAACGTGGCCACAGAAGCACCTGTCTGCACAGATGATAATGGGCGCAGGGGATGGGCCAAACCTGAGACAGCGGGTTTCACCGCCGCTGACTCCTGCTCCCTTGCTGTTTCAGGGAGGGACTGTTGAGGCAGGGGCACGGGCAGGGGATTGTCTGTTTCTGACAAAAATCACTTCTCACAGACTCAGTGATTGACTTTAGACTTACCTGTAGTGGACGAAGGCCGTCAAAGTACAAATTACTCTTTTCGGCACCCTGGAAAGCACAATGATCATTTTTTGACCATGAGAGAGAACAAATCTGTGATACGAGACATAAGGACTTGTTTAAGAGACAATGAGTTCTGCTAGCACCGTGGCTCACTAGGCTAATCCTCCACCTTGCGGCACCGGCACACTGGGTTGTAGTCCCGGTTGGGGCGCTGGATTCTGTCCCGGTTGCCCCTCTTCCAGGCCAGCTCTCTGCTGTGGCCAGGGAGTGCAGTGGAGGATGGGCCAAGTGCTTGGGCCCTGCACCCCATGGGAGACCAGGAGAAGTACCTGGCTCCTGCCATCGGATCAGTGCAGTGCGCCGGCCGCGGCGGCCATTGGAGGGTGAACCAATGGCAAAGCAAGACCTTTCTCTCTGTCTCTCTCTCTCTCTCTGTCCACTCTGCCTGTCAAAAAAAAAAAAAGAGACAATGAGTTCCTCATCTTTGGTTGGGGGTGGGCTAGGGTGCCAGTCCCTTGCAGGCCAAGGGAGGCTGCTAAGGGTGGAGGGGGCAGGTGGGATGAGCACAGCTGCCCTGGCTCCTTTGTGGAGAAGCCCCTGCAGCTTATCAGAGGCTGACGTCAGACCCCTGCAGAGAGAGGGCAGCCTGAGTCCCAGGAGCTACTGAGGGGCAGCTTGGTGGAGGGAGACAGAGCATGGGTTCCAGAGCTGACAGCCTTGTGTTTTGAGTCTGAGCAATGATTTATCAGGGCCTAAGATGGGCAGGCTGCCCCACCTGTCAGGAAGAGTTTTCCTTCTTCGTAAAATAAGACAAGTGCTGGTTCCGACCAGGTGGCAGTCGGTCCTGCACTGTGTTACTCTGTGCCATCATCTTGTGAATGGATCCAAGATGCCAGTTCCCGGTCACCATCACAGGTGTGGTGGAGCTGGTCCTGGATCCTGTGCAGGATCCTGTGCTGTCTCCCCAGCAGCTGCTGAGTTACAACTGACAAGGAGGTGGGCTGGGTGGAGAAGTCATGGTCTTGGGGGCACAGGTGACCCACACTCTGGGCCTCTTGCCAATGACCCCAGCCTTCTTCCTGCGTTGAGAGCCTGTGGGCCCTTGGGGTGCTGTGTGCCGTAAGGGGCCACACCAGGTCCAGCTGTAGCTTTGTGAGGTGGCCTTGGGTGCCAGCGGGAGCACAGCCTGCAGAGGGTGGAGGAGGCACCCTGTGAGTAGCATCAGGACAGTGGCGATACCTTGCTTTGTGTGGTTTCAGAGAAAGCAGGGCACACCAAGCTCTGAACTTCCCACCTCACAATGGGCATGGCGGCCACCACCTTTGTGGGAAGAAAATCGTCAGCGGGCTGATCTGAAACCCCATGGGAAGTTCAAAACTACCTGCTAACCCCAGGGTTCTTTTGTGTGTGTGTCTAGATTTCCAGTGGGTTCAAGGGGACGTGTGTGAAGTCCAGCTGATGGTGTACAACCCCATGCTGTTTGAGCTTCGAGTGCAGAACATGGTATGTACCACCGCAGGGGCCTCTGTGACCGAGAACTCCAGCGTGTCACTAAAATGTGTCTTTGCTTACTGTTAGAGGCATTAATTCTGGCACACAAGTCTGCTGTCCAAGATAGTAAGCGTTTGGTGAGTGAAGTCCGTGTTTTGTCATTACCGTGTCTCATGCTTGCTGCCGAGTAGACAGCACAGAGCAACCTTGGGCTTGTACACGCACAGAGCTTTGCCCATTGGCTATGAGACTGGAAGCCAGCACTTTGGAGTTCACAGGGGCTTACTGGAGATTGTTGTGCTGCTGTGAGGTGACACAGGGATTGAGGTGCAGCGGGAGCTGTAGAGAGAGGTGCTGTGTTACTGCACCATGTAGGGTGTGGAAGATTCACGCCCTGAGTCCATGCTTGTTTGGGGGACTTGTGCTGCCTTCAGACTACCATGGGATCCATTCCCAAGGTTCTCTGTACTGCGACCAGTTTCATAACCGGTGTTCCAGGTGAGAACCAGGCTCTTCCTGCTGGTGTCTCACTGAGGGCCATGCCCTGTGCCAGGTACAGGGTGCGTGGGACCCGGGGGATACGAAGGCCTATAGGCCTTATCCCTGGTGTGAACACAATGAGCTGTGTTGGGGATGCATGGTGCCTGCCTGGGAGAGACGACCCTGCTGGCTGGGCCAGACTGCTGGGTGGAGCCACAGTTTTCCACAAGCCAGGACTGTTGGGCAGCCCTGCTGCATGTGACTGCTCCCCAAGCCTGTGTTAAGCCAGCAGTCCTGAGACTGACTGAGCACCGGTGTTCCCCCAACTGTTGCACAAGGGTGCACTGGCCTCAGGACATGGCCATGGTCAGCCTCTGCTGTGGCTGTCTGGCTCTTGGAATCCAAGGGGGGAATTTACCACAAAGTAGTTAAAGTGTCAGATGATTGCTGCTGTTTCTTATACATATTTTTTTCATTTTTAAAAGTAGCATTTTTACCTGGTTTAAAAGTAATAAATTACATATTTTAATAAATGAGGAAGGGTAGAGACTTAGACAAGAGAAAACCACCACTTGAATATAGCCAGCATACCATGGTGCTGTGTCAAAGCTGACTCATGGAACACTGCAGACGTGCACACGCCACCCGCGTTTCAGCAGGCAGCGGTGGCCACACCGCCCTGGTTGTTCTATGAAGACAGAGAGGCCGGTGTGTCTGTTAGAGATGAAAGGCATGCGATCAGCTTCTCTGAGTGCATCCTGCCCACTGCACCCCCTCCACACGCACACACGCAGATCACTTCACGCCTTTGCCTCACATGTGGGCGGCAGGCGTGCTCACTGCCCCCAGAGTGTCTCTGCTGCCGGCGTCTCCTGTGCACAGAGTTAGAGACAGTGTATGTGCATTCCACACACCCAGCTGTCTACACCACACACACATCTGTGCATGCAGGTTTCATACACCCTGAACTCACACCGAGGCCCAGCATCTTGCCTTCCTGCGTTACATGTTTGTGCCCTTCCTCCCAGCACACCCACTCACATGCCTTGTCCTGCCACAGATAAAAGAGGTTTTTTTTTTTTTAAAAGATTATTTATTTATTTGAAAGTTGAGTCACAGAGTCCATTTGCTGGTTCACTCCCCAAGTGTCCGCCCAAGCCAGGGCTGAGCCAGGCTTGAAGACAGGAGTTCTGTCTGGATCTCCCACATGGGTGGCAGAGGCCCAAACACTTGGGCCATCTTCTGCTGTATTCTCAGGCACATGGGCAGGCAGCTGGATCGGAAGTGGAGCAGCCAGGATGCAAACCAGCAGCTATATGGGATGCTGGTGTTGTAGGCAGCGGCTTTACCTGCTACGCCCCAATGCCGGCCCTGGACCTGAGAGTTTGAGGGTTGCCTTGACTGCAAACTGTGGAAAGCGGAACCCCACAAACAGGGCAGGACTCTCTGTGTCTTGAGTTCTTTAATTTATCTCAGCAGGTTTCTGTAACTGTGATGAGATCTTGCACATTATTCGTTAGATTTACTCCAAGATAGTTGGAATTTTTGGTGTCTTGTTACTTTTTTTAAACATTTTATTTTCTAATAGTTGACTGGTGATTGTTGACATCTTTTAGATTGTGGGAGACCAGGAGGAAGCTTCTGGATCCTGGCTTTGGCCTGGCCCAGCCCCGGCCATTGCAGCCATTAGTGGAGTAAAACAGTAGATCTCTCTGTCTCTGTTTCCCTCTTGTTTTCAAATAAATATAAGTGTTTCAAAAAAGAAAAATAAAAAGTTTCCTTAGTGTTCATATTCCCATTTGGTACAAGAAGAAAGCAAAGCGAACATCAGAAACATGGCAGAGAGGACCAAAATCAAGGGCAGCGGCTGTTGATCTGACTGCCCCGGGTGTCACGTGTGCATGGTCTCTGCAGTTCTCTGTGGGTTCTAAGAAGCCGCAGCCTTCCACTGCCTTGTTCTGGGCTGCCAGGTGTGCGGTGCAGGCTGGTCCTGCTCACATTGCTCTGTGCCTTGCTGCAGGGGCTGCTGACCAGTGGAGTGGAATTCGAGTCGCGCCCCACAGCGCTCTCCCTTCCGGCCGAGTCTGGTCTGTACCTGGTGACGCTCGTAGGGGTCCCACAGACGACTGGAACGATCACCGTGAATGGTAAGGGCTTTTCTGATTGCTGCTCTTGAGGGGCTGCCACACTGCTGTTCTGTACACCAGGGTCCAGAGCCTCTCACCCATCTCGTTAGTCCTCGTCCATCAAGGGATGGGGAAAGACTGCCTTTCCTTGGGATGTGGTGCAAGTTGTTGGAGTGTGATTGGCACCTGCCAGGCTCCTGCTGCGCTGGGTGGGGCCCCTTCCTGTGCTCTGTCTGCCTCCTCCTCCAGACAGTCTTCCAACAGCTTGGTTCCTACCTCTGCATCCTGACTTTTCCTGATGCCACGATGTCCCATGTGCTCTCAGGAAGCCCCTGTCTTCTGCTGGATCTCTTGGGAGAGTTGGCTGTGCACACTGAGTCGCTTCTGCCACCAGTGCCATGTTCCTGCACCCTTCCACATCCTGAGTTTAACCCTTATCCCTTCACCAGGACACCTGTCTGTGGCATCACTAGTGGCGTTTTTCTGCCTAAACCTGGGACCAGTGGTTTGGTTTGCTTGGAGCTTTAGTGCTCATTTGCCACCCTGCATGTGTGGCGAGCTGTGTCCTCCAGCCTCGGTTACACCACACCCTCCAGATTTTCCGCGGTCTCTTTGGCCCTTCTTCCTCAGTTTTGCTGGTCTCATGCAGGTGTCCCCTTGCAGCCCAGCCCTCTGACAGGTGCTCCTCGCTCTGTGTTTCTTGTCCTCCTCTCTGTCCTCCGTAAGTCACTGCTGGTGAGGGTGTCCCCAGCCCCACAGTGTTTTTCTGCCTCACAGCCCCGCAGACTGCTGACCACTCCTGGGGTCAGGTGCCCTTCCCTGGCCTGTGCCCCAGCACTTCCCAGCTATCCCCCTGGTGTCCAGCGGGTGGGACATGCGTGTTCTACACGTCCAACCCAAGTGTACTGCCTCCCCTCCCCAAAGCAGTCTCTCCTCTGAGACCCCTCTCTCTCCTCTAAAAGGCGTCGTGGTCAACCAGTGGGAGTCACTTTCCCTCTTCATCAGGCCAAGTTCCCCAGCCCTGTATGGTCCATCTCTGTGCTCCTCTGCTGAGCCTTCCTGCTGGGTTACACATTGTTCCTCTACCTTTGCTGTCTTGCAAGTGCCCTATCCTTTTCCACTTCCTCCACTACCTGTGTGGACTTAGTGGTCCCTGAGCTGTGCATCTCTTTGCAGAGCAGTTGGCATTGTTCTTTGGTGTGTCTTGTGCACAAAGCTAGACGGGCTGACCCTGTACTGCTGTGCACAGTAATTGTGGACCCCAAGTCTTTGTCATCAGACTATTATGTGACAGCCATTTTCAGCAATGGTAAGGAAAGGCCTGACTCTAATTAGGGATTATAAAATAGTGGTTGCTCAGCAGGCGAAACATATATCAGGTTCCTGTTGAAAGGGAAATGCGAGAAACCCTGGTTCCAGGTATGGATTTGTGGGGAGAATAGTGTTTTGCCCATTGCAGGGGTGTTTTGACAAGCCCACCCTCTGAGGGAGGGTGAGCTGGAATGGTGTTGAGAGCGCAGCTCCCAGCCAGCAGGAACCTCAGGAGGACCGAGGAGGCTGCTGGGGCCCCGGGAGCCCTTGAAAGCCATGCTGGCTTCTCCACTGAGCACACCTCAGGCTCACACGAGTGTAGGCAGGTTGTCACCTGAGCCTCGAGCCACTGGGTATGGTTTCATTTTCTTGCACAGTAAATGCTGTTGACAATAATTAGCTAAATTTCAAAAGCCGTTCTACAGCTTTGCTTAAATAGTTTCAAGTGCTTATCTCACCAGTGGGAAATTTGCTCATCTTAAACGGCAGTGCTCACACACACACAGCCAGTTCGCCCCATCACAAAGCTGCTGCAATAATAATAATTGGCTCTTGAACTTTCGTCTCTCAACAGAAGGTTCTGAAGCATTTTTCAAATACTCATTAAATTACATTATGTCCCGGGAAGGAATATTAACTGCCATCCTCACTGTGGAGATGGATAAATCTGAAAAGCAAGTGAGTCCCGGGCTGAGATGCTGACTACGGGTTGTGCAGAGATTGATGGCTTACAGGAGCTTTCCCAATTGGGCCCAGTCAGCCTGGTGGGATGGGAGTACAGGTGCTGTTGTAATCCCACCACAAAGGAGGAGCCCGAGGAATGTTGAGGCTGTGAGCAGGGACTGGCAGGTAAAGGAGCCAGCACCAGGACCCAGGTCTTCTGCAGGGTTGCCCTTGCTGGTTGGGGACTTCAGCAGTGGACAGGAAGGTGGACACGGGGCATGGAACTTTGCTGGGAGTTGTGAGGTCTCTACTTTCCTGTGTCCCAGGTTACCACACCACCGTCTTTGGTGTTGTCAGTGACTGCCTGCTGAACCACCTCCTGGGAATAAAGACCAGCGGCTCTACTGTGGAAGTCTGGCACCCATATGGGATTGTTTTATTTTTGTTTTAGATTTTCAGCATCACTGGGAAGCATAAAGGAGAAAGGGAAGTGGCTGTTGGGAGGCCTGGAGCCAGTCACTGTGAATGCTTGGAGGTGCTTCCTGCCACTTTAGAAAACACTTTTCTGAACACGGTGTCATAGATGAGTTTTTGTGAAATCACATTAATAAGCTTTTCCTCACACTTTCACAGAGTCTTAAAAAAAGGTTTCTAGTTGCGTTTAAAAAGGACAGCCTGAGGATATCTCAGGATTTCATAACCGCCCTTTCCTTGCTGTTGGATTTGGGCCGTTCTCAGTTGTTGCCCTCAGGGGTGACACTTCTTGGACATCCTTTGGCTATTTTTAGGATGTCTGAGATTTTCTAAAAGGTTTTAACTGGTTTGTGTGTCTGATACATGCTTGTTGCTTGCTAGGCAGTGGGCCAGGCGCCAGAGCTGAAACCGTGGGCCCAGCATTCTGGGGCCTGGTGCTCAAGGAGGCTGTGTTCAGCGGGAGAGAGGGAGAAGGCAGAACCAGCATGGCCACTGCCCTCCGGTCCCCACTGGTGGCCGTGAGGGGCTGGGAGCAGGAGTTAGCCATGCACAGTGGGCAGCTGGGAGCATTTGTCAGAGGTGGAGAAAGCATCAGGTGATTGGGGAATGCAATGAAATGCAGGAAACATGAATTCTAAAGCAGATCCCAGACCTGACTGTGAGAGCTCAGAGCACCCGCCTTTGAAAAGAAAGCTGGTGAGAGTTTTCACGACCTTGTATTAGCCAAAGAGTTCTTTGACATGTCACCAAAAGCAAGATCCACAAAGAAAAAAACACTGATAAATTGGGCTTCATCAAAATTAAAAACTGCTGTGCTTCCAGAAATACCACTAAGAAAATGAACAGACAACTCACAGGCTGGAAGGAAATATTTGTACATCATGTCTCTGGTAAGGATCTGCTACTTAACACCCAAACTAAGAAGGCAAACAACTAAATTAGAAAGGTTGACAGAAGTATGGGTTAGCTCTCTCCCCATGAAAGACTTCCCAGGAGCTAACGAGCAACCTGGAAAGGTGTGTGGCATCATCAATCTTTCTGGAGCTGGTACCGTGTGGGGTTCCTGCTCACACCTGCCAGGGTGGCTGTCGTCAGAAGACAGGCGGTAGCCATGTGTGGTGCTGGAGAAGTCTGCATGCTTGCCATGTTTCTACAAATGTTGAACGTAAATTGACCATATGACTCAGAAATTCGGTGTCTACCCAAGGCCGAGGAAAGCACACAGTGACTCAGAAACTTGTATATGAATGTTCACAGCTGCATTTTTTGTAATAGTCCAGAAAGCAGGCAGAACTTGGATGCCCATTGCCTGGCAAGTGGCTGAACAAAATGTGGCACATTTGTACCTGGGCTGCCGCTGAGCAAGACAGGCAAGCAGGGCCCTGACACAGGAACCAAATATGGCCCATTTACACCTGGGGTGCAGCTGAGCAGTGGAGACGCACTGACGCATGCTCCCGACACATGCTTCAGCATGGGCACTGAAGGCCAGGATGGCTGCCTTTTATCTCTTACTGAAAAATGGTATAAGACATATTTTTCAAAAGGCCCCCTATTTCTCTGGGCTGGCCATTGTGGTGTAGTGGGTAAAGCTGCTGCCTGCAACACTGGCATCCCATATGGGTGTTGGTTTGTGTCCCAGCTGCTTTCCTTCTAATCCAGCTCCCTGCAATGGCCTGGGAAAGCAGCAGCAGATGACCCAAGTGCTTGGGCCCCTGCACCTGCGTGGGAGACCCAGAAGAAGCTCCTGGCTCCGGCTTTGGTCTGGCCCAGCCCTGGCCTTTGCAACCATTTGGGAAGTGAGCCAGTGGATGGAAGTGCGCTTTCTTGCTCTCTGTAATTCTGCCTTTTAAATAAATAAATAAATAAATAAGTATTTTCTTCAAGTGACTCTTGATTAATTAGGTGTTGATTGTAACTAATCTGCTATAAAGGCCCCTGTGACTGGTGAAATGCACTCACCAGCATCTGCGAACACCACCTTGTGCTCCAGGACCCTGACCTAGGCCATGACCCTTTAGAAGAGCTCCCTGTCGGGGGTATGGGGGCTTTAGGGGGTTGGTGTGATCATTGGGATTTGCTGACTGCTCCTGTAATGTGAACCAGAGGAGGGGACGCTGACCCTGTCTTGTGGGGTTCAGGAAGGCTCCATAGAAAGTGTGGGATTTACAAAGCATGGTCAAACACAGACCGTAAAGAAGGGAGTGAAATACGACTGAGAACAGCAGGATGGGACCCATGCAGAGCCCTGGAGAGGCAGCTCCCCAGAGACAGAAGTGAGCTCAGCGCATGGCACAGTGGACACAGGCCTCCCTGTCGGTCAGTCACGCAAAAGAGAAGAACCCTGTGGGCATTGGGGGGCCACAGAGCCTGGCAGGAGGAATGATGCTAGGCCCGTGGCCTGATGGCTTGTGTGTGGGCACAATGGGGCTGTGCCTTCCTTCCAGTCTCTTTTTTTAAGACTTATTTATTTTTATTTGAAAGGCAGAGTTACAGAGAAACACACACACACACACACACAGACACACACACCTGGAGAAAGAGAGAGAGAGAGAGAGAGGTCTCATCTGTGGGTTCACTCCCCAAATGGCCACAAAGGCCAGGTTGAAGCCAGGAACCAGGAGCTTCATTTTGGTCTCCTATGTGGGTGGCAGGAGTTCAGATACTTGGACCATCTCCCACTGTTTTTCCAGGTGTATTAGCAGGGAGCTGGATTGGAAGTGGAGCAGCAGGGACTTGAACTGGCACCCATTAAGAGATACTAGTGCTGCATGCAGAGACTTCACCTGCTACACCACAACACCAGCCCCTGCATTCCACACCTTGAGAGATGCTGCACCAGGCCAGGCACCAAGCAAACAGCCGCTGAACACACAGTGGTCACTCTGTCCTGGGCTCGGGCAGACACTGACGAGATGCTCTTGTATGCCACACAGGAGGTTCAGAGTTGAGGTGCTTATCAGTCTGTTCAGTGCATTCTTAGTGAGTACCTATTAGACACTAGGTGTATGGCAAGGAGCTGATAGCAAACAGACAGAAACTTCGTTCCTGCCTTGGGAAGGCTCTGGGGCCAGCGCAGGGCTGAGGAGAACAGTGCTGCTGGTGGGAGCTGGGTCCCAGTGCCATGTCCCGAGTGTGCCTTTGCAGCAGTGCCAGCTGCAGTCTCACTCTGACGCCGTTCCTCGTGGCTCCGGGGCTCCTGCACTGTGGGTGCCTCCTTCCGCCCCTGTCCCCTGCAGCACAGAGGGCCTGGACACCCTGCTGTGCGAGATGGCCAGTGATTAGTTCTGGCTGAGTTTTGTTACCTCCCGAAACCTTCCCCAGGAGGGACTGATGTGCAAGCTGCACAGGGGTCATGCAGGGAGGTTGTGCATCGGCTTTCCTTCGCTGACCTAGGTGTGAGGAACACTGTTATAGATGGCACATAGGAAATCGCCTCAACCTGTTGTGCTGTTTTTTTTTCTCAGGATTTGGTTTGGGAAAAAACATTGCCTCTGATCGGAGCCTGGAGCCGAGGCGCGTCATATGCCTGGCTTACAGAACCTGACTTGTTCTTAGCATGGTTGGCTCCCAAATTTCTCATTCAAAGCCAAGATTCTCTAGCTCCTATTTCTGAAATGCCAAAATGTGGTCGTCCTTTTACCTGATGTGAATCAGTTTTTTTTTTTTTAAATTTAGTATTTGAAAGACAGAGAGAGAGAGCAAGCGAATTGATCTTCCATTTGCTGGTTCACTCCCCAAATGACTGGAGCTGGGACCAAGACAAAGCCAGGAACCAGGAGCTTCTTCTGGGTCTCCCACATGGGTGCAGGGGCCCAAGCACTTGGGTCGTTTTCCCCTGCTTTCCCAGGCACATTAGCAGAGAGCTGGATTGGAAGTGGAGCAGCTGGGATTTGAATTGGCACTCATGGGATGCTGGTGCTGCAGGCAGCGGCTTTACCCACTACACCACAGCACCTGCCCCTGATGTGAATCATTCCTGCACAGCGTTGGTTTCTTCCTTCAGTTTATTCTCCCTGCTTTTGGTTTAGATCGGCACACTCATTGCAGCCTTCCTCTGGTGACGAGATATCTACCAACGTGTCTATGCAGCTGTTCAACGGGGAGACTCATCAACTCATCGTCACCTTAGAAAACATTGGCCTGGAACCCCTGGAGACACTGCAGGTCACCTCCAAACTGCTCCCCACCAAGGGTAGGTGTGGTCAGTGCGTCAGACCTGGGAAGGTTGCGTTGTTGCCTTTACAAGCGATATTTTACATAGCTACTGTTCAGAAAACCTCAAAGCTTCCTTTAGTTTAGTGCAGTCCTGATGGGGGTGGAGATCAAATACCACATGCTACAGGCATGAAGTTGACCCCTTCGTGCCCTTGGTTCCCATTACTGGATCTGAACAGGGGTCAGATCCTCAGCAGACTGGTTACTGAGTGGAAGACTGGGAGACAGGAACAGGCCCATCCTGTGGTTCCTGCAGCCCAGGGCTGCCTCCTGATTCAGCACTTGAGGGCTGGGCCAGGCTGAAGCCAGGAGCCAGGAACTCCATCCAGGATTCCCATGTGGATAGCTGGGGCCCAAGCACTTGGGCAAACCTCCGAAGGACGCCAGCATTGCAGGAGGCTGCTTAACCCTCGGCACCACAGTGCCAAGCCCAAGGTGTAGCTTTTCCACCTTTCTGGGCTGCTGTTTCCTTTGCTGTTGCTGTGCCTTTGAACTTTTCTGGAACTCAGTCCCGTGTCAGCCATCCCTTTCTTTCCTGCCTTTTATCAGGACAGTATTCATTGCAGACTTGCAGGAATCCTATCTAAACAATTGTGTGCCTGTTGTGTAGCTTCCATACTTAGCATTTTGCTGCATTTGCCTTGTAACACATCTCTCTGGCGTCCTACCTACACCCCCCACCCCGCCCAGTATCTTGTCTAAAGTTCCGGATTTCAGAAGCACCTGTGAGTGCTTCTGAGCTCAATGTTTTTGATAAAATGCACATGCACTGAAATGTGCAGGTCTAACATGTTTCATCTGATGAGTTTCAACAGATGCTGGCCCATGTCATTGTGTAATCTAAGCCCTCATCAAGATATAATACAGAACATTTCCATCACCCCAGAAAGTTCCCCAGCTTTCTTCCCAGCAAGTCCCAGTGCAACCCCGGGAGCAAACACTCTTGTCTGTCGTCTGTGTGCTGGGCAGCCCCACTGGGTGTTTACTGCTGGTGATGCAGGTTGTGGGTGACATGCATAGCAACCGGCAGGTGGCAACTGGCAGACGTGCAGCCCAGTCACCTTCTCTTCCCTACCTTGCGTTTAATTTTCCACTGGGTCTTGCCCACACCTGGTCGGTCTTAAAAATCTTTAAAGACATTTATTTTCAGGCTGGCACTGTGGTGTAGCTGGTTGAGCCACCGCCTGTGGCACTGATATCTCATGTGGGTGCCGGTTTGTGTCCCAGCTGCTCCACTTCTGATCTAGCTCCCTGCTAGTATGCCTGGGAAAGCAATGGAACGTGGTCCAAGGGCTTGGGTCCCTGTAGGAGACTTAGAGGAAGCTCCTAGCTTTTGGCTTCTGGCTCCGGCCTGGTCCAGCTCTGACAGTTGGAGCCATTTGGGGAGTGAACCAGCAGATGGAAGAGTTCTCTCTGTGTGTCTTTCTTTCTGTAACTCTGCTTTTCAAATAAAATAAATCTTAATGCAGAGTGGACAGTGAGAGAGAGAGAGACAGAGAGAAAGGTCTTGCTTTGCCATTGGTTCACCCTCCAATGGCTGCTGCGGATGGTGCGCTGGGGCCAGTGCACTGCGCCGATCCGAAGTCAGGAGCCGGGTGCTTCTCCTGGTCTCCCATGTGGTGCAGGGCCCAAGCACTTGGGCCATCCTCCACTGCACTCCTGGGCCACAGCAGAGAGCTGGACTGGAAGAGGAGCAACTGGGACAGAAACCGGTGCCCCGACCGGGACTATAACCCGGTGTGCCGGCGCTGCAGGTGGAGGATTGACCTAGTGAGCCGCGGCACTGGCCAGAAATTTACTTTCGTTTGCCTGAAAGGCAGAAAGACAGAGCGAGAAAGATCCATAGATTGTTTAACTCCCAAAGGGCCAAAGGCCCTTGTCTCTAGTTAGGCCTAGGATGGCTGGGGTCTATGTTACTCTCCTCCTTTTTATGGACAGGGGAAGTAAAGGCAGATGAGGTGACTAACTAAGGTCACATAGCAGGTGCACGGGGAACCAGCAGGAGGACCAAAGTCTCCTGATTCTCAGCTTTGGTGTAGTCACCCTTAGGAGGCAGAAGCACCATAATCATGTAACACACTGCCCGGTGTAGCCACCTCAGAGCAACACAGTTACCAGTGAAAAATTAAAGCCATCATTCTTTCTTTAGTTTCCTCCCAAGCTGCCATACATTTACATGTGGAATTAAATTAATGGAAACAAACCATATACTTCCAGAATATACAAAAGGAATAATTCCTGGTGCTTTTGCTGTACAAGGCAAGGCTCCCAGTGGTGACAGATGACCGCCAGCACTAGAAACTGGGAACGTGCGCAAGGCTCCTGTGTGGGGCCATGGTGACAGCAGCAGGTTTGCCTGTGGATATTAAAGAGCATCTATTTCCATTCTCGCCTCAGCTTCACCTTGGGCCCACTGAGCCTACCAAATGCCTGCTCTGCGGATGGAATGCTTCTCTGGTGCCTGCAACGTTTTCTTTCTTTGTGCCGGTGGTAGAGTTATTTTCTATCTTAAATTAGGAAGAGCTCTCACCCTGGAGCTCATTTCATGCACCAGGTGTGAGGCACTTGACATTCTTTTTCCATATGAGGTGTCCCAGTGACCACAGGAGGGCTATCGGGGTGGGTGCTCTGGTAATCTGTTTATTTCACTGTGACATCCCCCGTGCCTGAGAACCCAGAGCAGTGCTCGTCACTTAGCAGGTGCTGCACAAGTGTCAACCCTGGTTCTCCCCTCCTGGGGCCGTCCTGAGGATGCAGGACACAGGGGGACAGTACTAGGCACCGAAGTGCTGGACCCAAGCTTGCTTTGGCAGTGGCGGTGCTTGGTGCACCCTCCTCTCTGCAGGACTGCGTTTGTGGTCTCAGTGCCTGATGCCGCTGAACCTGCCGGCACCCTGTGTCCTTTCCTGCTCCTGCCTGACTGCTGGGAGGCACCGAGGGTCCCGGCAGGGCCCCCACAGCCCCTTAACGCATCTGTACTCACCCTGAATAACCCCCACGTTCTTCAGATACCAACCTCAGGGAAAGAAAAGTATCCTGTTCTGTTATCCCCTCTTCCATCTTCCTTGCTTTCCTGACCTATTTTACTACAAAAAAAATTGTTTAATTTTTTTTGAAAGTCAGAGACAGAGAGGTTAAGGCAGACAGAGAACGAGAGACAGAGAGATCCCATCTGTTTCCTTTGCTTGGAGAAAGATTTTCTTGTATGCAATCTCATATGTCTAATTTTTGCTTTTGCCACCCACGCCTTTGGGGTCACATCCAAGAAATTACTGCTCAGATCGATGCCAAGGACCTTTCCCTCTGCTTTCCTCTAGTCGTTTTAGAGTTTTGGGTCTTATGGTTAAGAATTTATTTACTTACTGGGATATGTGTTTATGTATGTGTGAATGTGTACATATATAGATATCAAGTCTCTAGCACAAACCACTATCACAGGCATTTAATTTTAATTTATTTTCATCTTATTTGAAAGGCAAAGGAGGCTGAGAGAGAGGAAAAAAAGAGAGAGAGAGAGGAGAGGGATCTACCATTTTCTAGTTGACTCCCAGAAAACCTTCATAATATGGAAAAGTTTTATGCTACTTCAAAAATCAAAATACAGATTTATAAAATAAATTCAATTTTGTAAAATTTTTATTTTTTTTTATTTTTATTTATTTATTTATTTTTTTGACAGGCAGAGTGGACAATGAGAGAGAGAGACAGAGAGAGAAAGGTCTTCCTTTGCCATTGATTCACCCTCCAACGGCCGCCGCGGCCGGCGCGCTTCGGCCGGCGCACCGCGCTTATCCAATGGCAGGAGCCAGGAGCCAGGTGCTTTTCCTGGTCTCCCATGGGGTACAGGGCCCAAGCACCTGGGCTATCCTCCACTGCACTCCCTGGCCACAGCAGAGAGCTGGCCTGGAAGAGGGGCAACCGGGACAGAATCCGGCGCCCCGACCGGGACTAGAACCCGGTGTGCCGGCGCCGCTAGGTGGAGGATTAGCCTAGTGAGCCATGGCACCGGCAAAATTTTTTATTATTTTTTTAACAGGCAGAATTAGACAGTGAGAGAGGGAGAGACAGAGAGAAAGGTCTTGCTTCCATTGGTTCACCCCCTAAATGGCTGCTACGGCTGCTCTGGCAGGAGCCAGATGCTTCCTCCTGGTCTCCCATGTGGGTGCAGGGCCCAAGCACTTAGGCCATCCTCCATTGCCCTCCTGGGCCACAGCAGAGAGCTGGACTGGAAGAGGTGCAACCAGGACAGAATCCGGCACCCCAAACATGACTAGAACCTGGGGTGCCGGTGCTGCAGGCAGGCAGATTATCCAAGTGAGCTGTGGTGCCGGCCAATAAATTCCATTTTTAAAATCAATCCAATTTTTAAAAAGAATATACAGTACTAAATAAGCACATAGAATGTTAAGTGTGCCTGTCTATGCACAGTTAGGATGCAGGATGAGGAATTATTTTTTTACTATCCATTTATATTTTTCAAGATTTCTAAAAGGAACATACATAATTTGTAAGCTAAAATTTATCACTGAAATGCTTTCAACTGTGGCAGGCACTGAGGTGCAGCAGGTTAGTCTGCAGCTTAGGACACCCACATCCCACACTGGAGAGTCTGGTTCAAGTCTTGGTTGCTCCATGCTACAGATCTAGATTCCTGCTCATGAGCACCATGGGAGGCAGCAGGTGATGGCTCAAGTGCTTGCGTCCCTGCCACCCACATGGGACACCTACAAGGAACTCTGGGCTCCTAACTTTGGCCTGGCCCAGCCCTGGCTGTTGTAGGCATTTGTGGAGTGAACCACTGGATGGAAGATTTCTCTCTCTTTTTTCTGTCACTCAGCCTCTTACATAAATAAACAAACATTTTTTAAATGCTTCAACTTGAATTTTCAAAAAGCTTTAACAAAGAAAACTCAGGGTCTGATACGACCCTCCCTCTGGGTACAGAACCCAGCACCATAAAAGGTCAGAGGTGGACAG